GAGAGGTGGATCCTTGGGACCCTAGAATCCCAAAGCTGGACGGGGTTGACAAGAAAGAATGTGGTCTTGTTTTCAGCCTTTAGGCACCAAGTGGAGTCACTAAACTAACTTGGGACAGGAGGCCATTTAATCTCTTCTCAGTGATCTCCTAGGACAGAAGAGATACCTCAGCCTTTCTCCATCAGCCAGTCAGATACATCATTGATATTTTGTACTTAATTTCATATATATTTTATATTTAATTTTCTACACACATGCTGTTTTCCCCAACAGAACGTAAGTTCCTTGAGGGCAGAAAAATCTTTCCTTTTTGTCTTTGTGTATCCCTAGCACTTAGCACAGTGCCTGGAACATTTTCCTTTGGCCTAGAGGAACTGCAGGTGAAGAAGCTTACTCCACCACCTGTTCTGCAGCTTACACTGAAGCCTTTGACATTGTCTATCAGTCTCTTCTGCTTGGAACTCTGGTCTCTAGGTTTCCATGGTGTTACTGTACCCTGGTTTTCCTCCTATCTGATTGGTCCTTCTTAATCTCCTTTACAGGATCTTCATCTAGGTCACACCTGCAAACTTTGGGAGTCCCCCAGGGCTGTCCTTGACACTTGTCTCCTCTTCTGCTATGCTATTTCACTTGGTGATCTCATCAGCTCCCATGAACTGAATTATCATCTCTACACCCATTGATTCTGATGTCCCTGGCTTCCTTTAAGTCTCAACTAAAATCTCCCCTTTTACAGGAAGCCTTTACTAACCCCTCTTAATTCTAGTGCCTTCCCTCTATTAAACATTACTATTTATCCTGTATATATAGCTTGCTTTGTGTATATTTGTTTGCATGTGATCTCCCCTATCAGACTGTAAGCTCCTGGAGGGCAGGCACTGTCTTTTGCCTCTTTTTGTATCCCCAGAACTCAGCACAGTGCCTGCCACATAGTAGGTACTTAATAAATGGTTGTTGACTAACAGTCTTACAGACCTGACTGAAACAGTGAGAGCTCTCCAGGGTCATAAATGAATGCCTTTTTTTTTTTTTTGTGAGGCAGTTGGGGTTAAGTGACTTGCCCAGAGTCACACAGCTAGTGTTATGTGTCTGAGGCAGAATTTGAACTGGGATCCTCCTGACTCCAGGGCCATAAATGTATGTCTTAAAGGCTGGATTTGTTCCCTGGGGTTCCTGCCTCCCAACAGTATGCTTGTTTGTAAATGTTTGTTAAACTAAACTCAGTTGAATTGAATTAGGTTGGTACATTAGACTCTAGGAGATGGAAGAATTGACTGTGTCACTTTGAACCATCTATTTTGCCCTACCCATCCCTGCTTTCCTCATCTGTAACATCAGAAGAATAATAGAATGGGATGGAAAAGCATTAAATGCTTACTAAAAAGCTAGTTTTTGCTTTAAAAAAAACCTGCTAAATGGCACAGAAACAAAGGGACAAAACCATCCTCCCACTCAAGGAGCTCACATTCTAATTAGGGGAAAGAGCACAACACAGCAGGAGACTAATACTTGCCTCAGTGAAGTTATAATGACTGCTGGCATTTATAAAGGCTTTAAGACCTCATCTGAGTCTCACTACATCCTTGTGGGAGAGTGACTTGCCCAGGGAAACACAGCCAGAGAGTATCTGAGACAGGATTTGAACCCCAGATTCCCTGATTCCAAGTCCAATGCACTATCCATTGTACCATGTGGCCTCTCCTGAGAATCAAATGGGATTAGGCATATGGGAACACTCTGAGAAAGTTAAGAGCACTATAGAAATACAAGTTGTCACCTTGCTCATTATTAATGGTGTGAAATTGTGGGATGGGGTTGGGGGGTGAGATTAGACCATATGATCACCTACTGAACAGATAAGATAGGCTGGTGCTATCTAAAAGAGTGCTAGATTTGGGAGTCACTTGCTACCTTGTGACTCTGGGCAGGTCATTTAGCCACTCCTCCTCCACTGCAAAATGAGAGGTGTGGACTCCCTCCAGCTCTCTATGAGTGTCTTTGCTTCTTTGGGCCTCAGTTTTCCCATTTGGAAAATGAAGGTTGGCCTAGATAATCTTCTCCCTTACATCTCTGAGTCTATGATCCTGGGATCTGTATATGGGGCTAACAGTGTTAGAGAAGTTTGTTCTTTCTTCCAAAAAAATATTCATTCTGTTCAGGTTTCTCAGTTGCAGTCAAGAATGAAAAGATGAATAATACATAGTTTCTGCTCTCCCAGAGCTGATGATCTATTAGAAGAGATGAAACAGGAAGGCCAATAATGGAAGTACAAAGCAGTGTGACAGGGGCCAAATGAGAGGTATAGACAAAGACCATGTAAATTTTGATAAATACGTAAGCTCTTCTGCTGGGTGGGGAAAGGAAGGGGGAGCCTGGAAGGCTTCATGGAATAAGGAGCATTTAAGCTGGACCTTGGAAGGTGGGTAATGTTTCCAAAGAAAGAGTAAACAGCAAGAGTAAATGTTTGGAGGTGGGAAGGCACAAGACATGTAGAAGAAACAAGGTGGGCTCCAGGATCTAAAATACATGGGGGGTGAGGAGAAGGAAGGTTGAGATAAGACAGGAAAAAACAGTTCACAGGAGGGAGAGAACACCATGGGCTGGAGTGGCAAGGGAGGTTTCATTCCAGCAGCCCAAGTCATCCAGCTGGGCGTTTCTCCTCTTGCCCATAACTGGCAAAGGACGGCATGCCTAGACTGCAGGGCACCGTTGCCAGTTTAGAAATAGCCCTGGCCACATTTGCTGTCCGAGCTCAGAACAGGAAGCCCTGAGTACATAAAGGTGGTGGTAGCCCTCACTGTGCTTGGGGTGGGGGAAAGTAAGGGCATGGAGCAGCCAAGGCACCCAGTTCTTCCCCAACACTCCACTGGCAACAGAGGTACCTGGAGCGGAAGCTGGCCTCAGTCACAGTTTTAGCAACATGTCTCATCTCTACAGCCTCAGGGAAACTGTGCCTTTCCAACAATAAATATCCCCTACCACTGCCTAGATAGCCATCCTCCGTTCCAGCTGGCCAGCCTGTTCACTATTCACTCTTTCTCCCCTCTTCCTACCCCCTTCCTTGTCTCTTCCATCTTGCCCCCTTCCCCAGCCTAGTATAGGGTTAGACACACAGTAGGCCTTCAATAAAGCCCCACTGTCAGAGATGAAAGGACCTTAGAGGTCACCAAGTCTAAACCTCTGATTTTAAAGCAATGCTCAGAGGAAGTAAGGCCTTCCTCAAGGGGGAGGGGAGTGGAAAGAAGGGAGGGGAAGGGGAAGCGGGGGGCAAGACAGAGGAGATAAGGAGGAGGAGAGAGAAAAGGAAAAGGAGGGGAAGAGAGTGGGAAGGAGAGGAGAGGATAAGGAAGAAACAGAGGGAGAAGAGGGAGGGAAGAAGAAGAAAAGGGAAACAAGTCACATTAGACTACAAAAATTAGTAACTTTATAGTTTCTGAGCTCCCTAGGGCCTCAACATTGGTGTGGGGAAGTCTGTGAGAAATTTGTGGGAAGGCTTTTGGAAAAGTTGCAAAAAATCAAGGAAAGGCAACCCATCTGAGTTTCCCAAAAGTGAGCAGCCTCCCACTGAGTGACCCTGCCCCTCCATTTAGAATGGACCTCCTGACAGGTTCTCATTCAGGTCACAAGTCTTCCTGCCCAGAAGCCTCCAAACTCATCTGCTCTAGAAAAAGAAGCCTGGTGCTCAGGGTTTGCGGGGTCAGGGTGGAGTGACTTGGAGAGATTCCCCTCCAGAATCCTGCTGAGCCTGGACCTTCAGTGGGGGTGCAGCTGCAGCTGGGAACCTTCTGTTCCCAATCCACCTCCTGTCCCACACCACCCCGACGGTCGCCAAGGGACCCTGGGTTTGGCTTGGTTTGGTTTTTCCTAACTGGTGTTTCCCTCCTTGGACCTTCGAAGGAAGGGAGGGCATTCCATCTCAGGGACCTGAATGAGAGCCTCCCCAGGGCCCCTAAACAGGTCTCCAACACTGGATCAGAGACTAGGGATGGGCAGGCAAGGCCGCTCGTCTGTGAAACGGGGTGCTCCATGCATCCTATGGAGGGAAGGGAGGGCATCCCATCTCAGGGGCCAGGATTTTGAGCTGAAAAGGACCTTAGGTCATCAAATCCAAATGTCAGGTCAGTTTGCTCACCTGATAAGACCGAGTGTCACACGGGTAGTGGGAAGAGGAAAAGAGTCAGGATTTGAATCCAGGCTCCTCTGACTCCAAATCCAGGGCTCTTTCCACTACAACACAGTCATTTAGGACCCAAGCCTCTAAGTTGCAGGGGAGTACAAAGCTCAAAGGTTGCCTTGATGCCCCAAGTCTTCGTGACCCTCGGAGAGTCCTGGCTTCCACTGCCAGTTCTGTGGCTCCTTCTCCACGTGGCCCTGGTCCCATCACCCACCCTCTCTAAACCTCAGCTCCATATGTCAAATTGGGGATTCTCCAGCCCCCTAGCAGGAAGAGGCATCATTCAGTCTGGAGGATGGGCAGAGCTGGAGCAGTCAGGGTGTCCCGGCCAGGGACCGAGCCCAGAGCCCCATGAGGAGGGCCAGCCCCACCCCACCCCCGCAGCCTCAGGGCAGAGCCAGCAACCCCCAGCCCCAGGGCCGAGCTAGCCCTCCAACCCCGCCAGTCCCCCTACCAGCCCCAGGGCAGAGCCAATCCCCCCCCCCCGCAGCCCCAGGACAGAGGCAGCACCCCCCAGCCCCGGGGCAGAGCCAGGCCCCCTTCCTCCCCCTCCAGAAGAGCCAGCCCCCCCCCCCCGCCCTCCTGCTCGCGCCGCCTGGAGCTCAGCTGCCGACTCCGGCAGTCGCTGCCTCTGCCCCTGCTAGCCACTCGGGAGCGTGCGTGAGCCGCCGCTATCGCCGCCTCCGCCGCCGCCGCAGCCGCGGGCCCCTTTAAGGATCCCCGGGGGCTGGGGCTGCGCGGCGCGCGCCCTCCCTCTCCCCTCCCCCTCCTCCTCCCCTTCTCCCTCCCTCCTTCCCTCCTCCTCCCCCGCCCCCTCCTTCCCATTCCCCTCGCACCCAGCGGAGGGAGAGGGGACGCGAGGCGGCACTCCCGCGCGTGTGTGGCTCACGCCGGCCGGAGGAGGAGAGGCGCGCTCCAGGCGGGAGGGCAGCGCGGTGCTAGGGGCGCCGGGCCCCCGGAGCTCTGCCCCGCCCGGCCCTGGCCGCCAGCGCGGCCGCCAGCGGCTTCCTGCAGCCGGGGCGCCTGAGCGAGCCGCATCCCCTGCGCCCGCGAGCTCCCCGCACCCCCAGCGCCCCCCATCATGAGTCCCGTGAGCCGCCCGTGAATCGCCCGCGGAGCCTGGCCCACGACTGCTGCAGCTGCGCGCGTGGAGGTAGGCACCCCCGGCCCCGGTGTCCCGGTGCCCGAGCTCTGATGGCTCCCTGGCAGGCTGGGGGAGGCACGAGGGCCCCAGCTTGGTCTCTCCCCCCTATCAGCGTGCGCGCTCCCCTAGCCCCCCGGGGTCTCTCGGGGCCGGCTTTGTGTTGGATTTCCCCGGACCGAGGCGTACGGTTTGTGCCCTCATGCTCCACCCCCCACCCCCCCACCCCCCGGCTTCAGTCCCGGCCGCCTGCCTGTGTCTGTGTCTACCTGTGCCCCCTTCCTTCCCGGGGAAGGCCATGGAGATCAGGGGACAGAGCTAGTGCTCCCCCTCCCCACCTACAGTCTCGGGGGTGCCTGACCGCTGATGATTGGGTGATCTGGCCTCTTTGGGAGACTCGATCTAGCTCCCCAATTTCTTGAATCAGGAGGTCTGGCAACATCGGGATCTCACTTCCACTAAAACAGTCAGATTGATACACGCAGGGAGCCGTGTAGCCCCTGGGCAGTGACGGTCTGTGTGTGGTGGGGTGAGGAGGGGTAGTGCCTTGGCAGCAGCGAGCTGGGAAGAGCAATGGGAGGTCATCCAGGCCACCCTAGACATTAGTGGGTGCCCAGCCTTCTTACGGATCTAGGTTTAAGCTGTTCTCTTGCCTCCCCGCCCCCCAACCCCCTCTCAATGGGCTAGGATTTCCCTGGCCTGGGACGAAGCTGAGGGCATCGAGAGGAGGGGCCCTGGAGCTAGCACTACTGGGACAATAGGTGAGCTGAGCTTGGAGTCCTGCCCTTTGGGGTTCGGACATAGGTGACTTAAGAGGGGAGAGTTGGCTTAATCTATCACCACTACTGGCAATGAAGCCCCAGAGCTTCCATTTGTCTGGGGAGAAACCACTATTTCCTCTATGTTAATGGTGGGCTCACCTCCTCTCCAGCTTTTTCTCTGAAACATCCCAGTGGTTTCCAAGGTGGAGGGAGGTTGGCATCCCAGATGATAAAACTCCCTCTCAGCTGGGTGACCTCATGACCGATAGCTCTTCCCACTCTCAAGACCCCTTAAATATCCTTTCACTTGAATTAATGGTAAAAATTAGTTTAAATTTGCCAAATACACTGGGGTGGGGGGAGTGGTGAGAGAGATGGGAGAATGAAGAATGAAGAATTGGAATTAGGATTGTGCCAGGCTGGGGGAGGGGGGCAACTGGACTCTGGTAAAAATCTAGGTGTAAATAACTGAGGGTTGGCAACTGTTTCAAAGCACACTGAGGAAACACCCCTCCCTTTTATAAAGTGAAGCTGCTGTTGTAGTTGGCATAGAGAGAAGGACAAAGGTGTGGGAGGTTTTCTAGGAGGGCTTTGGCCTCACACCTCTCTCCTCAAACACTATCTTCCTGAGATTTCTTCCTCCTCCTTTTGGATGATGGGTATAGGTGCTGAAACAAGGACCCTGGCATGGGAGTTTAAAGGGCTTGGGTGAGGCTGGAGGCACTTTAGATCTCTTTCCCATAGTCCTCTCCTGGAAGAAAGAAACAAAGTCCAAGAGCCCTGAAATCCCTAAAAGCAAAGACTGACCTTAGCTTGCCGCTCTTCCTAATTGATGAGCTAGGTGGCAGAGCCTGGAGAGGCCAGGGGTAAGAACTGTCCCACCTTCTGTTTGGACTGTGTCTTTAAGGCTGCAGTCCTGGGGAGGTTAGAAGCTGGTTCCTGCTGTTTCTTTCTTCTCCAGCTCAGGACAAATGGTAGTGAGTCCCTGGCCCTTCGACTTGGGTCCCATCTAATTGGGTAGGGAGAATAGAGGTGGTCTGAGTGAAGCTTGAATGTACTTCACTGTTCTCTTTCTCTCCTCCACCCTCTTCTCCCATTCATCTAGTGTGTTTTGTCCCTCTTCTCCACCCTCCTAATCTCACAGTCCCCCAGACTTTTCTCCCTGGAAAGGGGAAACCTTTCATTAACGACTCTAACCCCTGAGTCTGGGAGGTTACAAAGAGGCATTAGGAGTGGCCTGAGGGAGTGGACACATAGTGGATACTCAGTCATACTGGAGTGTGTGAACTGGACTCAGGGTGGCAGAGAAAACAGGAAGAAATCCATTCAATTCAGCAAACATTTGGTAAGCTCCTGCTGTGTGCCAGACTGTTCTACCACTCTGTGCTAGGTGCCAGGGATAGAGTCAGAGATGAAAGCCCTGCCGGCAATGAGCTTACAGTCAACTGTTGGAGGGGAGAGGGGAAAAGAGAGAAAATCTGGAAAGGCCCCTTGATGGAGGGCACCCCGAAGCTGGGTCTCAAAGGGAGCAAGGGATTCCAAGATGAAGAAATGAGGAGGGAGGGAAGGGGGGAGAGAGAGAGAGAGAGAGAGAGAGAGAGAGAGAGAGAGAGAGAGAGAGAGAGAGAGAGAGAGAGAGACAGGGAGGGAGAGACAGAGAGACAGGGAAAGACAGAGACAGGGAGATGGAGAGACAGAGACAGAGAGAGGGAGAGAGATGGAAAGAGAGATAGAGAGAGATAGAGAGAGGGAGAGACAGACAGAGACAGAGGGAGACAGAGAAAGAGAGAGACAGAGAGAGAGAGAGACAGAAAGATCCCAGGCCTGTGCAAAGACATGAATGAAGGAGATGGAAGGAGCTGGGAAACTCTGGCTAGGCCAGTGGAGAACATGAGGGAGGATTAATGTAAATGAGATCCTACTCACATAATTGGCACACCTTAAAGTTCTGTGCAAATGCTAAGACTAAGCTAAGAGCACACAGTGGGGTTTCACCAGGTATTCTGGGAAACTAAGTACATCCCAAACTGTTGTTGTTTTAACTAAAAAAATCTTCTTCCACCATCAGTTGCACTTCCCTGCTTTAGTAACGTCTGGTGACCTCCGGTGGCATTCAGTGCCCAGAGGAGCTGCTAGAATCTTGAATTCTACCTCTCAGCCTCGGGCCTCCCAAGCCGGGTCTGGTGAGAGAGATGGAGGGGAGGTATTGTTTTGTGTGCCTCAGCTCTCTGCTGACTCCAGGCTTCCCCCCTGTGGATGGAAACCCCCTGACTACAGGCCTGCCTTCACCTGGTGCTTTTTCCTGACTTCCCTATTTCTTTCTCCTAAAAGTACATTTCAATGAAAAGAATTCTGCTCCACTGGATTCTAGTTCAAGATGTTACTGGACTTCAGTGGCCAAGACAAGAAGGCACTGCCAGGAAGCCGTCTGCTGAAGGTGCCCTTATTTTAATGAGCATTCCCACTTGGAGACAGACCTTAGGGGCCCTGGCCTGGCTCTGTGCGCAGAGGAAGTATCTTGATTTAATTCATGCCCTCCTGGCTGTGTTGACCTCTGACCTCTGGATGTCCCAGGGGTGCTCCCAGCTACCTCTGAGGACTGATGGGGGTGTTGCTTTGTGGCTCACAAATGGATGACATCTGGATATCGGTCACAAGACTGGACTGAGGGCTGGGGGGAGGGGGAGAAGCTAGCCTGCAGGCAGGGAAGGGGGCGGCATGGCTGAGTGGAAGAAGGGTCCCAGCCACCTCTCTCTCTCTCCCTTCCTCCCTCCCTCCCTCCCTCCCTCCCTCCCTCTCTCTTCTCTCTCTCTCTCTCTCTCTCTCTCTCTCTCTCTCTCTCTCTCTCTCTTCTCTCTCTCTCCCTCTCTCCCCCCCTCCCTCCCTAGGAGATGGGTGATGTGTGGAGGCAGATCCTCAGGAAGGGGAGAGGAGGAGTGCAGGAAGGAGGGGGGCCATGGCACCAGCGGGGGAGGCACCGGGCTCAGTTTCCGCTCTGGTCTTACCCTAAAGAGATACTCGGGCGAGTATTCCTTCTTGGCATGAATAGGGAAGTCAGAAAAGAAAAAAAAAATCAAAGTGTCCAGGCAGAGCAGAATGAAAAGCAGTCAGATCTCCAAGGCTCCTATGGGCTTGTCAGCAACAGCTCTGAGGGAGAGGGAAGGACTTTGAGGCTGTAGGTGAGTGAAGGGAAAACCACTTCTAGCCCTGCCAGACCTTGGTTTTATTCACGAATGTCAGCTGCCTTTTAGAGAGCTGGAGCTTTGGATACAAGGTAAAATGTTTGTGGGCGGGAAGGAAAGCAGAAGAAGAGATTCTCCTCTTTTTTTTGCCAAAAAGGATGCTGCTTCCTCCAGGAAGCCTTCTCTGACTGCCCTAGCCCTCAGAGAATTCCTTGTCCTCTGAACTCTTGCATTTACTGCCAGTGGCTTTTGTGGACTACCTGGTCTTGTTAACTGTTCTGAGTGAGGGTTCCTCCCTCAGTGAGGCTCCTCTGTGATTTGGTCTCCTTTTCTTGTCTCGCCCTTATTCTCAGGGAGCACAGTGGGTGCTCAGTAAATCCTGATAGAAACCCTCAAGAGGACAGTCTTCTAGATCTTGGCCCAAGGGGGAGCCCCAGGTCACAGTGGGTGCTGAGGGGCTACACTAGAAAAATAGGGCCAACCGTTAGTCTAGGCTTGAAAGCATCTGTCATACTTGTTAAGTTATGGTGCTATGGGAAGCAGCCTGGATTTGGAGTCCGAGGACCCAGCTTGGCCTCGTTCTGTGTGTATAACCTTGGGCCATCATTGGCCTCTCGGAGGGGATATGAGAGGCTCCCCCTCCCCCAGGTCCCTAGATCTACAAGCCTATGGATTGAGCTCACTTTTTATAAAGAACTAAAGACACAGGGCTCCTGGTGCTGATCTCTGTTGGACTGCTCTCCCTGAAGATGGGGGTGCTGAAGGTGAAGAAGTATTCCATTTTCCCCTTCATTGGTTCTGTACAATCTGTAAGCCCCTTCCCTCCCCCAAGAGCATGCACACTTAACCCTGCTTCCCCAAAAGGCAACTTCTGGGCTTACTCACTGACCTTTGTTAACCCCAGGGAAATCAAGTTAGTTCATTGATTTAAAAAAAAAACCCAGCCCTTACTACTAAAGGTCAGATACCATTCTAGACCTCAAGGGAGAGAGAAGAGGACTAAGTAAAAAGAGATATCCCCTACTATCAATGAATTTAATAGGGGAAATGATGGAAGAAGCCTAAATAA